ACTTCTGCTCATTTGGACCCAAACACTTTTTTTTTTTTTTGAGATGGAGTCTCACTCAGTCACCAGGCTGGAGTGCAGTGACACTATCTAGGTTCACTGCAACCTCTGCTTCCTTGGTTCATGGGATTCTCGTGCCTCAGCCTCCCAAGTAGCTCGGATTACAGGCACACACCACCATGTCCCACTAATTTTTGTATTTTTTGTAGAGATGGGGTTTCACCATGTTGGCCAGGATGGTCTCCATCTCCCAACCTTGTAATCCACTCGCCTCAGCTTTCCAAAGTTCTGGGATTACAGGCATGAGCCAGCACGCCCAGCCAACATTTCTAAACAACAGCAACCTATTTCAATCAACCAGCATTTATTAATATAACATATGCAGTTCTCACAATCCTACACAGGAAGTACAATGACTCATACTTTACAGATAATAAAGAGATTGTGTCTCGCCTAAAGTAACTAAGCCAAGATTCTAGCCCAAAGCTGTTAGATTCCAAAGTATATATGCCATGTGCAAAGCACACGCATTAAAACCAAATCTGAAGTGTGTTTTGGCCACTCTCAGTCCACTGGAAAAAAAAATCAGATAGGAGAATTTTGAACACATGAAAATTAGCTGAGATTTAATTCACTGATCCAAACCTGGGTGATCAACGTTAAAATGTATGTGCCAAAATCAGTGCTTTAAATTTTGGGAAAAATCTAATAGCATTCTCTTTGTTATGATTACGAATTAAGACCAGTACACCCAGCATCATAATTCTAAAACTACTTTTTCACCTGTGTTCTTTCGCTAATCAATCTAATTAACATGGTAGGTTGTTATTTTGGCTACTAAATATTAGAAATAGAAAGCCATGTTTATGACAAATTTTATAACTATACTTTGAGTAAGTACATCAAATGTATATGCAAATTAGCAAATAAACTGGTGACTTTATACTGTAGATGCCTTAGCAAAATTCACCCATGATTTTCGCTTTTAATTTCCGTTAGTAACCTTCCATGTTACAGCAATTTCTCCTCTGGGCATTTATGCTGAGCAAACAGTGGTACGTTACTCTGTGACAGCCTTGCCCTAAAAAACCTGAAGCCACACGCAGACAGACTTTAATAAAATGAGAGTATGTTTCTCCTCCAAAGATTGGATTTTAAATCAAGTTATACTCAAAGCCCTAATTTTAAGACTATAAAATTCGATGACTTCATTAAAAATAAAACGACAGCTGATGTTTTGAAGCCAACCGATCAGTTTTTAAAAGTCCTGGGAATAAAACTAAATCTGTGATGACTACAGATAGACATGGGTCACTGCTAAGGTAGCCCTAGCCTGGGAACACTTGGATGTCAGGAAAAAACACTAGTGAGCTTAAAGGGAAGGATTTATTGGGCAGTTTCCACTGTGTGTCCTGGATTACTGGAACATGAGACAGTCTGGCTGTAATGTAACCACCGTTGTTTACAATTCCCGAGGCAATTTGAAACTCCACGATTTCAACAATGGCATCAACTGACTGCAAAGTTTTGAGTAATGTAATCACAGTGATTTATCACTTAACACAAATGCGTTTCTAGCTCATAAACAGGCTACCCATGACCCATTTTCTCTCACACATAACTGAAATAATGAATGTACAGCTTAGAAATGCTCTGCATTAAAAATTAGAAACCAAGTGTTTAGCCTTGAAATAAAATTTTACATCCATCATCTCATTTAACCCTAAACCACTTTATGAGTCTATAGTCACTGGCATTCTACTTATTCCTGTACTTGGTAAGCCTTACTCACTGGTCTTACTCTTCTCTTTGTGTGTGTGTGTGTTGTTGTTGCCTTTGTTTTGAGACAAGGTCTTGCTCTGTTGCCCAGGCTGCAGTGCAGTGATGTGATCATTACCATAGCTCACTGCCTCCATCTCCCAGGCTCAAGTGTTCCTCCCGTCTCAACCTCATGAGTAGCTGGGACCACAAGTGTCTGCCACTATGCCCAGCTAATATCCTTGTATTTCTGTAGAGACAGGGGTCTAGTTAAGCTGCCCAGGCTGGTCTTGAACTCCTGAATGCAAGCAATCTTCCCGCCTCAGGCTCTCAAAGTACTGGGATTACAGGTGCGAGCCACCACCCCTGCCTGGTGTTAACCTTGTCTTCACAAGTCTTTCTTTTATTACTGCTTATTCACATACACCCTCTAACGCATCTTTTCAGCTAACATTTCTATGCTTTCCTTCTGTGGCGGCTCATCCACTCATAGGTTAAGTTCATGCTCTGTTTATTATTCTGACCTATGCTTTGTACTATACATTCTTATCTTGACCATTTCTATTTTATAGAAATCCAAATCTCACTTCTAAGATTAGCTTTCTTCTATGTTACCCTAATGTAATTGCTCTGTATTTTTACACATGAACTGCTTTGCCTTAGTTCTCTGTTAGAACCTTCTCTCTTTAAGAGTTAACGATAACATCGGTCTCATTCAAATTTTTGCTTCTAAGGTCTTAGCAATATATTTTATTATACCCAAACTTTTCATTTTCTATAAGGTTCTACTTTCTGATTACTAACTTGACTCTTTTCTTTCCCATCTTTACCCTGGTTTTTAGCTGCTCAAATTTTCCTGTTACATCCTGTTCTTCTTCAACCTATCTATCCACTTAAAAATTCTGATTTTTGGCCGGGTGCAGTGGCTCACACCTGTAATCCCAGAATTTTGGGAGGCCGAGGCAGGCAGATCACAAGGTCAAGAGATCGAGACCATCTGGCCAACATGGGGAAACCCTGTCTCTACTAAAAAAAAAACAAAAAATTAGCCAGGCATTGAGGCACACATCGTAGTCCCAGCTACTCAGGAGACTGAGGCAGGAGAATCTATCTAAAGAATCTATCTATCTAAAGAGTTCGAGACCAGCCTGGCCAACATGGTGAAACCCCATCTCTACCAAAAATACAAAATTAGCCAGGCATGGTGGTGCATACCTATAATCCCAACTACTCAGGAGGCTGAGGCAGGAGAATCGCTTGAACCGGGAAGACAGAGGTTGCAGCGAGCCGAGATCACAGCATTGCAATCCAGCCCGGGCAACAAGAGTGAAATTCCATCCCAAGAAAAGAAAAAAACAAATAAATATTCATTCTGCTTGTCTAGTTTTAGCCTTATAATACAATGACCTTGCATCAAACTGACTTTTCTCTATGTATCATCAGTAGCAGCCTTCAAAGTCTAAGAAATCAAAGTTATATTAGGAGACAAAAGAAATAAGGCATATGTATAATCCATGCACATGTTAAAATGACACACTGCCCAAGAGTTTTCCCTCATAAAAGTAAACAACTCTTCTAAAAGAGAATTATAGGCTGGGCACAGTAGCTCATGCCTATAACCCTAGCACTTTGGAAGACTGAATCTTGCCAAGATGGCGAACCTCCATCTCTATCAAAAAATACAAAAATTAGCTGGGTGTGCTGGTGAGTGCCTGTAATCCCAGCTACTCGGGAGGCTAAGGCATGAGAATAGCCTGAACCCAGGAGGCAGAGAGGCTGCAGTGAGCCAAGATCACACCACTTCTCCCAACCTGGGCAACAGAGGGAGACTTGGTCTCAAAAAAATAAATAGATAAAGGCAATTACACATGTGTACAGCATACAAGTGGGTTTGCTCCCGAGTTAAAGATTTGTTAGGGGCTTTATACAGCTAATAATTAAAACTTTAAAACCCTGGCTTCTTTTTTCAAAGTGAGTCTTAGGGTATAATACTGAACATTCCACGGGAATAAATGAAGAGGCCTTTAGGAACCAATGATGACACATGTCAACATCTGCGAGATATAATTAACTCAGCTTTCTGCACCTGCGGGCAAAACAAACCCAAATAATGGGAACATAAGGAAAGCAACACATTATGTCTTCCCGTAAATACCAGAAAACAGCAACTGACCATCAAAATACTTCTGACAGACAACAGCAACATGATAATCAGTCTTTGGGATCAAAACAAAACAGAGAAGACGGAACACACATAGTAAACAAAAACTTTAGGTTGGAGAAAGTAACAGTGGCGCAACAGAAGAAATACCTGTGTAATAATCTTCTACCACACTCTTATTACTAGAGATTTTCATGCAGATAATCAATATCAAATCAATGATGACCTAGGAAGACACCATTCAGTGGGTTTTGTCCTTGATTATTTCCCAGGTCTCTTTTCTCCGAAAAAGGAAACTATGTAACTTTATACAGACAAATATCTAGAATAAAAAGAAATACTGTACCCTCTCTTTCTAATCAAAGTTTAATTTTCCATTTGTTCTTAGGTAACATTACCCTTTAAAAAGGTCCTTTCCACTAGCTATTCAACATGGAGGTGAAAGTTTTAAATCTTAAAAAACAGTATTAGTTCACACTGATGGACTAAAATAAATCAGAGTACGCTAATTATGAACAAAGGATAGGGCTCAATACTCCAAAGTCATTTTATTCTCTCTACAAAAAGATACCTGTGTTTTCCTTACCAGTGATAAAATATGTAAGAGTCAGAAGTCAAAAATGGAAAGCAGAAGAGTCGTGCACAGAGGTCCCTGAAATTATGCAAAATATATTCGCTTCTAGACAATTTTACGTGGAATTAAGTTTGGTACATCATGGGTTTGTCTGTTCGTCTGAGACGAAGTCTCGCTCTGTCACCCAGGCTGTACATCATGTTTTATATACTGTTCTTCTTAAGACTACAGGTTCAAATGCCAGTATAGATAATTTACATTTGCCTTACAAAGCCTGGTAAGCTATCAAATGCCATGCATTTTAGTGTAGGGGGCTGAGATCCATTCTACAAAAAGGGATTCTTATTTTTAAAAACATAAGGTTTTTAATAAAACAAATTCATACTTAGTTGTTCTCTAAGACATCCTGAAATTCCCAGGCACAGTCATATCTGGAGAGACAAATGCTAACTGGGAAGAGCCCTGAAATGTTCACCCTGCTAAATGCCTGATTTTCTTTTCTCCCTTTACCTGATAATGAGCCTGGGCTTGCTGTGCAGAGTTCAAGGTGACATTGCAGAGTCTGCAGTACAGGGGCTTACATAGCTCCTCCAGGGCACAGTCTTGCTCCCCTCCCTTCGAGAACTCTTCTTCCCCTGCAAGAGGCAAGGAAGCCTCCTGCCCAGACGGCTTCTGTGGTGGAAGCTGCAAGGTGCCTGCAGGCCTGGTGGCCACTGACATAGGAGGAGAGGGTGCGGGCTGCCTAGGTGGAAGAAGCACAGCGTGCTGCAGGAGGATCATTGGGTAGGAAAGCCTTGAGCATAATCCAGCAGGTGATGAGAAGCAAGGTCTTCAAATCTGAATCAACAGCAAAACAACAAAAACAAAACCTCACTTAAAAATGAGACTTCAGCAACGTAACACGTAAATAACAATATAATCGGACCCTTTTCTGCACTTGTCCAAACCCGGCTTTGGAACTTCTTTTCTATGGCCTCACCTAGCAGACTTCCCCTGGCCGTTAATTCATACTGACACAGTGCTCTTCCACTGAGAATGGCTTGATTTTGCTTGGCACAGTTCCAACTGCTATCCCTCTGGCCCATGAACATTAATAGCACTGCATCCACAGCTAATTAAATCTAAAAGTCACATGGCTGAAATGGACATCAAAGGTCACCTGGTCCAGACCCCTTCCCTCAGGCACACTTACACTTAAACACTCTTAACGATAATCACACACAGACAAAAATACCACCAACCAGCTGGGCACAGTAGCTAACAACTGTAATCCCAGCACTTTGGGAAGCCAAGGCAGGTGGATCACCTGAAGTCGGGAGTTCAAGACCAGCCTGGACAACACAGTAAAACCCCATCTCTACTAAAAATACAAAAATTAGCCAGGCGTGGTGGTGGGCGCCTATAATCCAGCTCCTTGGAAGGCTGAGACAGGAGAATCTCTAGAACCCGGGAGGCGGAGGCTGCACTGAGCCAAGATCGTGACACCATACTCCAGCCAGGGAGACAGAGCAAGACTCTTCTCAAAAAAACACCACCAGCTAAAAATCTTAGCAAACATCTCTTCCAACCAACAATATCGAAGAGTGAATAAAAGAATATCACCTCGCAGAATCCTTAAAGCACTCACATAGAGTTAGCTAAAATTACAATGAACTCTAGGAATAGCCTAAAGTATGACAGAAATAAATAAAATGTGTTCCTTCTGATCAACTAGTGATATTTAAGCAGTTGAGCAAATGTAAAGCAGAGGTGGCAAACAACCTTGGGTCACATACAGCCACATATGTGCTGTTTGGAATATACAGTTTTGTTTTCATTTTTTAAGTTGTATTAGTTGTTAACATATAAGAATCAAGAGATTCGTGGCTTCTCTTGATAAAAGGATGATCTGGCGTCACTTGGCCCACATTTCTATGTGGGTCACAATTAGCTCGTGTTCAGAGGCACTGTGCCCTGTAGCCAGACCTGCCTTCTCCCAGATACCTCAGTCCCCACTCAGCTGTGGCCTGTACTTGTTACTTGCCTGTTCTCTGAAGGTTCTTGAGTTTATGGTCCTACTTCATATAGCCTTAGATTATATTCATGAGTCCCCTATAAAATCCAAATATTTTCCTTCCTTCTCTAGGTAAATTACCTACACAAAATCAGATTATCAAGGAAATGGCCAGTGGAGAGCCGGGCGCGGCGGCTCACGCCTGTAATCCCAGCATTTTGGGAGGCTGAGGTGGGCGGATCACCTGAGGTCAGGAGTTCGAAACCAGCCTGACCAATATGGTGAAACCCTATCTTTAAAAATTTTTTTTTAAAAAAGAAAGAAAAGAAATGGCCAGTGGAGTCATGGATCGCACTACCTACCATAAGCCCCAGCGTAACTCCAGTTCCTCAGTCTTCAGGCTATTTCTTTCCCTCCACCTTCTTAATAACTGATAGTCTCTATTCTAATTCCATCAGAAAAGGCCCAAAATGTTCCTCTCCCTCTTAAATCTTTACCCATAATTTCTCCTGCCTTCCACCCAGATGGCATTGTCTAAACCTGCGGGTCTCAAAATGAACCACAGTACACACTTTGTGTTCCCAAGATTCTAATTAACCCAAATTAGGATCCTTATTTCAAAATCCACAATTCCCTCCACTCTCTCAATACAGTATTATCCAAACCTCTTCTCTTGGTCAATACAATATGGCTATTTTAAGCTGCTGAAATTGTCTATCTGCAATGGAAATGTGTACATTATGGCAGTAATAGAATTACTAAAAGGAATCAAGTAAATTTTGAAAAGTCAAAGTCTATTTTACCACATTTGATAACTACATCAGCACCTGTATATCAAGCAACAACTTTCATACGAAATTTGGGGTGGGGAGGCAACAAAGGATGTAGTTAAGGGCAAAGTGCATAATTATTAGTCACAGAATCTAACAATACTTCTCATTAATCACGAAATTTAGAAAAATGATAATACTATTTAATGTTTAAGGAGAAGGGTACTGCCCATATCTCTGGGAACATAAGAGGAATATAGAGTTTGAACATTTAAAAAGTCAGGTTCTCTGTATGGCATTATTTCTCTTAATTGAATCAAGCAAAGATATCCAGAAAGCAAAGACAGATATGGTCATTTCAGACAAGAAAACTAAGTAGACAAAGAACAGCTTTTCAAAAAGTTTAACTATCTAATAATAATTCATAATGTTAAAAAGCTACGCATACAACCTGTACGAGTCACACTGCCACAAACATGCTGCTAGTTCATTAGTGAGAAGGTGGAGAGGGGGTGTTAAAAAATCTGGATAAAGGAAACCAGCAATGTAAACAGAAAATCAAATGCTACCAATCGCCAAGGCATGTCTGGGCTTGTTTTATGAAAGCTCACTTTCACTACAGGAAATTCTAGCACATGTCTCCCCCGGTGTTATCTGCAGGTCTCCCTCAAAATAAAGGTCCTTCTCAAAGCACGGGAGCACGAAAGGCCTCCTGCCAGAGGTGATGGAGTCACCCGATTTAAGGAAAACACTCTGGCCAAACACAGGCTCACCCATTATCGCATTTTATCTTTATAATTTTTAAAGAGTAGCTTGATATTCCAAATTTGTTTCCTGTTACATTTAACAATCAACGCAGCGTCCACGCCGGAAAACACATCTACCTATGACAATCTCATCAAACGTGAGTCCGCCTGCAGACAGAAATCAGCGCGCACCATGAACCCTGAACAAGCGCCGGCCTCCAGCGAGCGCAGCGGCGACGGAGCCCGCAGCTGCGACACGCGCGACCCGAAGGCCGGCCGCGAACCCGGGTCAGCGCGACGCTCGCCGCCCGGGTCCGGAGAGGGGCTGGGACGGCGCGAACGAAACGCGGCCTCGGAACGAACCGCGCGCTCGGGCGTCACGCCGGCCCGGGCCTGCTCTCCGTGCTGGACTCCGACCGCGTCTTCTCGTCCGGAGAAACTGAGGAAAGGGACCGGGAAGGAGGACCGGGCCGGCGGCGCCTCGGACTCCCCGGAGCGCGAGGGGCGCGGGACGCTCGGAACCCCCGAGGCCGGGCCGAGCTCCACAGGGCGCCCCGGTACGGTCAGGACGCCGTCCCGAGGGCGGAGGTCCCCCCGGACCACGGAGACGCCCGGCCCCGGCGCCCCCATCCGCGGACGGCGCGTCACGTGGGGAGCCGTGGAGACTCCGCCGCGGGGGACCCGCCGGCCCCGAAAGCCCCGCGCCCGCGCCGCCCGCACTCACCGGAGCCCCCGGACGCCCGGCCCGGCCCCGCCTCTCCTCGGAGCCACCCCGCCCGCCGGCCCCGCCGCGGCCGGAGGCTGCCTGTCAAACTCCGCCGCCGCGACCCGCAGGAGACAGCTGCAGGAAGTGACTGCGGTACCGCGGCGAGGGGGGGGACGGCGCCGGCCGGCGTCGCCACTGCGCATGCGCCGCTCGGAGCGCGTTCCCGGCGGGCGGCGCGTGCTCACCCGCCACGGGCGCGGGGGCGCTGGGGGGGTCGCGCGGCTGGGCGGGCGCGGGGGCGCGGGGGCGCGGGCGGGAGGCGGTAGGCTCCCCGCCCATCTCAGCGGCGGCCCCCAGAGCCGCGGGTGCTCTGGGCAGGATCCTGGGCCGAGCGTTTGCAGCTTCGTTCTCCCGTCACTGGATCCGTCCCGCGGCCTGCGGTTGGCGGTGGAGGCGGCGGAGTGGCTCCTGGAAGCCGCTGTGTGCCCACTTCCGCCCCGCGTGGAGGGAGGAGCGCGTGGCCGCCCTCCTCCCGCAGGGGAAAGTGAGCGGGGTGGGGACAATCCTGCGCCCCGAGGCTCCCCCTCAGGCGAGAAGGGCCGGGAGCGGCACGACCCCCACAGCCAGCGTGCAGAGGCGCGCTCGGGAAACGCTGGCTTCAACTCGGAGTGTAGACTGACCCGTGTGAAGCTCTGCCGGGGTGTTGTCTTTGTTTGTGGCAAACTGTAACAAATTTACTACTTTTGAGAGTACGGTTGAGTGGCATGAAGTGTATTCACATTACGGTATGGTTATTTTATGAATCACGAATTAAAATGCCAAGATCTACGTATAGTAAGATGTGCCCTGGTAACAGGGAAACAACTGCAGGCAATTAAGGCTGTTTCTTTGGCTGGCACGTGCACCCAACCAATACCAGCAAGTACAAGCCATAAATGACTTCCTAAGCTTAGTGGTAGTTTAACAAACATATACACGCAGTGTACACCAGCGGTTTAAGGAGAGTAATCATCATCTGAATTGTTTCTCCAGCTGTATGTGTACATTGACCTTATGTGTCACTATTTTAAAGTTTCTAAAATAATAAATGCTGCTAAAATCCACTCTCCAGCCCTTCTCTTTATGGCCCTTAGCCAGTCTTAGAACTTCGCAGTCCACACTCCTTAGGAACACCACTAGGCCTGGGGGAGCCTCTTCGATCTCACCTTCCACGAGTCTCCTCTCCTCGTTTTAGTCACAGCCCCATCCATGCCTCTTAATTTCCTGCCTCTAATTCAGCTCTATCTGCATCTTGAGTGCAAAATGCTTTGTCTCTCCTTGGGGCGGTGGCTTACGGCTGTAATCCCAGTACTTTCAGAGGCCAAGGTGGGCGGATCACCAGGTCAGGAGTTCTAGACCAGCCTGGTCAATATAGTGAAACCCCATCTCTATTAAAAATACAAAAATTAGCCGGACGTGGCGGCGCATGCCTGTAATACCAGCCACTTGGGAGGCTGAGGCAGAATCGCTTGAACCCGGGTGAGCTGAGATTGTGGCCCTGCACTCCAGGCTGGGTAACAGTGCGAGACTCCATCTCAAAAAAAAAAAAAAAAAAAAAAAAAAAAAAAAAAAAAAAAAAATGCTTTCTCCCCCCTCCCCTTGTATTACCAAACCCTACCTATCCTTCCAGGCCTCTTCTTTCATGAGCTCCCGCAGCACTTTCTCTGCACACCTTGATGACACACTATTTGTCGTCCTACATTATAATTATATAATGCCCTATAAATACCTTGAGTCCAGGAAGTATAATGTCTTGGGGTTTTCAAATTTTATGTTTCATAGTTTGATGCATTCTTGTCCATCAGGATAAAAAATCTGAACAATTTCATGTTCTCTGGCCCTGCTCACATATTCTTCTCAGACAGCTAGGCCATTTCCTTCCCTGTCTCAGGGAGAAAGAAGGAGGCAATTATCTGATGCTTGTATAATAGACATTTGAAGCTCATGGCAGTGACAGTGGTCTCATAAGTCAGTGTCTGTGGTTTAGAATTAGCTGGACTTCATGAGTTTCAGCACCTGAAGAGCTGAAAGAAAAAAAAAAGCCACAAACAATAGATTCATCACTTTTGCTGTTAAAAAAAAAAAAAATCAGTGTGTGATGACCATAAAGGTTTACTTCTTACTTGTATTACATGCTGGGTTAGCTGAGGTTCTCCTCCATGGGTCTTCTCAATCCAGTCCCCAAGCTTAAGAAGCTCCCTCTGTGTGGGACTTGGCAATTCTCAAGGGAGATGGGAAGAGCCAGAGAGCTGTTAGAAACTTGTGAAGCCTCTTAAACCTGCTTCTCCAACGTCTCTTGACATGTCTACTCAAATCTCATTGGCCAAAGCGTTTTATATGGCCAAACCCCAAGTAAACAGAGAAGTCTATTTGTTTCATAGGCAAATCACACGGCAACGGGCATGGATTATAATGTTTTTGGAGTGGGGGTTGTGTGGTTAATTGTAAACAATAATGCACTCTGCCACAAAGATGGGGGAACCAATTTTCTCTCCTAGGAGATATTGGTGTATGTCCCAACGAAAAGCCTATAAACCCCCACCCACCAGCCATACACACTCAGTCCTAGGGATTCGTTTGAAAGAAACTGGAGCTAGAAATAACAGAATTCCCACATGTGTTTGAAGATCTAGAGACTGAGGGCATCTGAGCTACATTCCCAGTGGGGACCAGAAAAGCAGTCAAGGGCTGGGGTTTCCCTTCAGTAAACCAAAAGGAAGTAGGGTGTTAGCCTGAACTGTTTGAACAGAGGACTGCCCCTAAACTTGTTTTGTTTCGTTTTGTATTTATGGCATTAAAGACCATTCAGGGGAGCTGACAGAGAGCTGTAGGGGGCTGTGAGCCTACAGGTCAGAAAGAGGAAGGGCAGCACTGAATGAACAGATCGCTGATCTGACAGCAGAGAAAAAACAGACACCAAGTACTGAGGCCAAACCCGGGGGTTTGCCCTGATGCCTGCTTCCTCTTGCCACCTGCCTCCCCACTCCACCCAACCCCGCCCCAAATTTTAAGGTTATCCTCAGAAAAATAAGGGGAAACAGATCATTTTGAAGTGATTACACATTAGCCAGAAATGATTTGGAGACAGGAGAGTTTTGTGGGTAATGGAAGTACATGTGGAATTGACTTTTTTTTTCTCTCTTTAAAAAGAACAGGATCTTAACACTGAGACTAATATTAATTATTTTTTAAAAGAAATGTTTTTATACACCGAGTTTCATGACCTGATACAGCATAACCAGTACATTGGTATGACCATAGTTGATTGCATAAATGTATGAATGAATGAGGAATTTATTTTCTCCATTCTGTAATAGGCATATAGTACCTGACAGTGTATTTCAGAGCAGTGTTTCCTTTTTATTATAACTATTATATGGGAAAGTCTCTGAATTTATCTGATGGGAACTCTCATATTAAAATAAGGATAATTATTTTCATTATGCTAGATCCTATACTGAGAAAATCTACATCTGTATTTATTTACCAAGTCCTGACACACTTACTTTTGGTGGCATGGCTTGAGTTTTAGGGAATCTCTCCAGAAATCTACATGATATACTCACAATCAGAGAAGAGAAACACTCATCCCTCTCCATGGACTGGTGCAATTTGTCAGGTCAGATCCTCTCTTGTATGGGAATCTGTGTCATCCTTTAAGACTCCACATGCCTTTTCTCTCATAACACATAATGTCTTCCAGACCAACTTCTTTCTTTTTTTTTTTTTTTTTTTTTTGAGACGGAGTTTCGCTCTTGTTACCCAGGCTGGAGTGCAATGGCACGATCTCGGCTCACCGCAACCTCTGCCTCCTGGGTTCAGGCAATTCTCCTGCCTCAGCCTCCTGAGTAGCTGGGATTACAGGCACGCGCCACCATGCCCAGCTAGTTTTTTTGTATTTTTAGTAGAGACGGGGTTTCACCATGTTGACCAGGATGGTCTCGATCTCTTGACCTCGTGATCCACCTGCCTCGGCCTCCCAAAGTGCTGGGATTACAGGCTTGAGCCACCGCGCCCGGCCCAACTTCTTTCTTTAAATCATCAGATAATGCCTTCAACATTGTCCCTCATAATAACCTCTGTTTTTCAACATAATCCTTCCTTATAATTAGAGTAAAGCAATACATCAACAATCTCAAATCCAGCAAAATAGCTTCTCGTGCATTTTAATAACATTCTAACATTTTTTAACCCAAAAAATAAAATATGAAGAAATAGTGGAAACATGGCAACAGCAGTCACAAATTTTTTTTTTCCCTGAATTCCCCTAATTTTAAAAATGGACCTTGAGAAGAATGTGTATTCAGAAAAAAAAAAAAAAAATGGTTGTGGGGGGCGGAGTGGAAGGGGCAAATAGATAGCAAAACCAAAGGCCTATAGCCAAGTCTAACAAAATGCAGTTGGCAGTTGGGACAACCCACCAATAGCTGCAAGACCTGTGAGGCATCCGCAGGAGGAAGTAGAGAGAAACAGCCAGGCAAGTGGCAGGCAAGTGGCAGACCTGAGAAAGCCGAGGCGCTCTCAGCCCCCATGTCCGCAGTGTTCTGCCTCCACTATTCAACCAACTGTGGAATCAAAAATATTTTTTAAAAACATGTAAAAATAATGTAACAATGATTAACAGAGCATTCACATTGTATTAAGTATTATAAGTAATCTACAGATGATGTAAAGTTTACTGGAGGATATACATATGTTATATACAAATACTGTGACATTTTACATCAAGGCAGCTGCAGATTTGGGTATGCTGGCTGGAGGGTCCTGAAACCATCCCCCTACAGATACTGAGAGGCAGCTGTAGTTGATGGGACTCACTGACACTTGGAGAGCCAATCTGGAACTGAGAGGAGCTTTGCACTTCTAAGAGTCGATTCATGCGATGGTTAAGAGGTGAGTTTGGACAGGACTTGTAGATCAGATGGTTATGTAACAGGCACTATAGCTTAAAGACATTCC